AATAAATAGTAGATCCCAATAAATACTGGGCTGGGACCTACAGTGAAATAAATGATTATAATTATCAAGTTTAATTTTTAAGTTCATGCAACATTACTTTTCCAAAGTTTGTATTTTTTATTAGTATTGTCTTGGAAGACTAGCTAGGCAAGAGACTTCATTTAATTAATGCAAGTTGTATTTTGAGATTGGGAAATACTATTTCGATTTTATTTAATAATTCACAGTTAATATAATGGTTGTATTAAAGTTATATCATTAAATTCTTAAATAAGGCCCCTGTACCATTGCTCGTTGAGATTTGGTATGTTTAATCTTATAGACTTCTGTATTTAGGGATTTACTTATAATTTGTTAATTATCATTAACTAATCGAAGAGATTAGTTTTTTTTTGGAATTTATATTTGTAAGAATGTGTCAATTGATGAAGTCTCGCATGTCCATTTGACTTAACCCTATATGGTCACAATTCGGCATGCGACAGTTATCGGGCTTCTGGCCTAAGTAGTCGGGTTTAGGACGCGACAACTTCATTTTTTTTTAAATAATTTAGAGCAAACATATATTCTCTTTTGGTTATGGGTGTTGGGTTCATTTTTTTCTTTTTGAATTGGTTTTTTTTTTTTTTTTCATCTTTTAGCAATGAAGTTTCAAATTGTGTTGAGAGATCACCAACTAGTCCTTGCTTAACCCTATAGTTAAGCCTAGTTTCTTTTTAATTAGAGCTGCAACCCTAATGATGCATGTGTACTTGTAGATTGTTTGTTGTAGCTAACAGTTGCATGGAGTGTGAATAGATAAAATTCGGCATAATATACAAACTGTAGCATGTTGATTATCACATATAGTACCAAGTTAGAAATTGGCAATGATTTTGTTGATTCTTAATAATTATTCAAGGAAATTATAGTAGTCCGAAATTACTTACACCACAGAGCGTAATAAGCAAAATTACAAATTAAACCTAAAATCGAAACGTAACTGAAAAGATGTTTCAAAAATGATCTAAAGGTCATAGCTGAAATAGGGTCTTATGCTCTTTTTACATGGTAACTGAAATCCGCCGTAATTAACACCGCTCTCGACGAACTGGGTATGTCATGTAATCTTTTGTTATGAGTGTTACAATCTTATGCACACGGAGATGGAGCCAAGAATCATCTAAAGTTCTGACATAGATCACTCTACTAAGAATAAGCCTGTAATATTGTCGACAGCATCGTATCAAAAAATTATAAATTTTTAAGATTAAATTATAATTTTTTTGAGGTGTAAGTTACTATTTTACGGGACATAAATGCATGATCAATTATGGAAGGTTAAAATCGATACCGAGTATCTGTGATCGATCATAAGTATTTATAATTGATCACAACTTTCCCTTGAAAAATTATAACTTCCCATTTCAAATATATAATTTTAACATAAAAAGTCATAACCAACGAGTCAATATTTTTCAAACAATGATCGAATAGGAAGGTTTTCAAAAGTTGCAGGAGCTATAACTACACTCCACCCTTGTAAGAGCAAAACCAACATCCAAATATTATAATGCACTTGTTCATTATATATATATATATATATATATATATATATATATATATATATATATATATATATATATATATTTTTTTTTTTTTGTTTTTGTTTTTTTCCCACTACCATCCCATGACACCTTAGGAGAAAAACAAAAAGAGTAATGCTAGATAAAATTAAAAATTAGACTTGATAATTTCAACCATTGAATAGGTAGTGGATCCCAATAAATATTGAGACCTAAATCAATAATTTTAATTATCAAGCATAATTTTTAAATTTAATTTTAAATTCCATGTTAACATTGTTCAAACAGAAATGTAGTTTTAGACTGGTAGTCTCCCCTAGGGACAAGCATGGGGAATCCTATTAACAATCTGTCACGACGACTAGAGATTCTAGCTATTAGTCTAGTTGACAACAATGTGAAATTAAAGACTTGATTATGATATTAAAAAAATAAAAAATAGGGTTGTACTTTTAAAAATTTTTACTTTAAAAAAATATTTTTATAATTTTTATGACTTATTTTATAATTAAATAATTTATCACTTTTAGACATTCTTAATATCTGAAATTTTTGGATTTGGCATGATTAAATAATTATCCACCCAATCATGTACAAAATATGATCGAGTCTTACTAGCATCATAATGCTTTTTGTTTTGTTAGTGAAACAAAACAAAAAGCATAATGAATGACAATGAGATTTAAACTCACAATTTTAAAGTTCGACAATTGGGATAGTTGTCAACCGCTACTCTCATAATGAACGACATCTTTTTCTCTTTTTTTTTTTTGGCTTTTGAAAAAGGGGACAGAGACAAAGAAGAGCATCCAAAAAACACCTCAATAGGCTCTCATTTGTGGAATCATGAGGTCCCTAACCATGCCATTACATTTTTCAAGAACGAATTTAGCTAAGCTAGCATCCGTTTCCTTTTAGGAGTATTAGATTAATCCTAGTGACTGCATCCAGTAGCATATTGTAACAATTTGGTGAAGATATAAGCCATTTACAGTCAACATCCCTCTCTCTCTCTCTCTCTCTCACACACACACACACACACACACAAAAAAAGACAACCAGCTATTCAGATAACAGTGGAAGAATTTAAAAGCAAGGGTTCACGTTAACAGCTAGACTTTGCATGAAACCTGGCCAACAACCCCTTTATACAAATTATTACAATACAACAATAATAGAATGGTCCTCCTCCCCAGCCCTTCTTTCTCTCACCTATCATTACATGAGTTTTAGCCTTCAGCTATGTTGTCCCTAGTCTACATCAGTGCATTACTAAATTCACTGAATCAATGTAATAATTAAGTCCATATTGCGTATCCATCCATTTTACTGTTGTTTGGTCTCATAATCTTCAGCACAACCGTCAGAAGATGCCATGTTCTTCAAGGTTTCTTAACAACATTTACTTGCACATATATATAAAACTGCATGACAGTTATGAGACTGTAAACTCGCTCAACATCGACTCGTTCAAGACTGATTTGTGTAATAAATAAGTTACGTATGAACAAATTTTTAAGCTCCCGTTAAGCTTTTTATGGTTGGCTCAACATTCCAATTAGCACCGAAAGATTATGTGGAAAGCCAATTTACACAAGCTCAACTCTTCAAAAATTTATGCAAGATCGATATATATATGTAAAATAAATGAGTCAAGCCTATAAGTTTATTTAACACTCGACTAAATTTTACACGAAATTCAAGCAAACTATCATTCGGCTAGGCTCGGATTATTTGTACCCATATATTAAGTCTATCCCTTGGCATCTCTTTTTTTTTTTTATTCGTTTAATGGTGAGCGGTATTCGGATTAGTTTACATGCATCTCCACTAATATCTTCTCTGGTCCGGTAGAATGCAGGTCATTCAAGTTGCGATTAGAGTATTTACAATGGATAAATCTCTTATGGCCTAACCCTAAGAAATTATCCAAATTCGAATTCAAGACGATTGAATTTACATCTCGTCCCTCTATCCATACCGATCAAAATATAAGGATTCCCCATGATAATATGCTTGAAAATAATTGTGACACCCAATGTCTAGGATTGAAAAGGATTTACCCTCTGCGGATTAGCTGTCTAGATCACATATAATGGCTATCTACCAAATCTTTAGGAGAGCTTTTTAAGAGCTAGACATGATATCAGCCACTTGGAAGTATCTCCTCAAATACCAAGAAAACCAGTCCAATATGTGGTGAATAACAAAAGTACCAAAGAAGTGTCAAACTAGTTCGAAGGGTATCATGGTCACTTAGGTATTTTATGCATCTTTGGTTTGGTTGGGGAAAGGGCTGTTCACATGGCATGAAAATTAGCTTCATGTGACCACATGCTTAGGCCTCCTCCCTTGTTATTATGACCTCTCTAATCAATGATGGTCAAACTGCCAAAGCTTCTCTCTCTTTGACTGATCCATACTTTATATCCTTACTTTAGATACCAAATTTACTTTTTGATGAAATATAAAAGTTACAATTAAATCGGGTTAAATATGATTTAATAGAGTCGGTTTGTATCCATCCTAATATGTTAAAATCGATACTAACTTTTTTTGGTTTGGGTTATTGGGGTGGGAGCCCGAGTACCAATTTGACTGATTAACATGAATTCGATACGATACGACACCACTCTAAAATTGATACAATTGACAAATACACATAATAAATGAATTAGATTAATGTTTGATACACATAAGTTATAACACATTAAACAATTTTTTTTTCGTTGATTTTAACACAAAAATAAAATGACCCAAAAATAACAACACAGAGATATATAAAACGACATGATACAAATTGACACCCGTACAAATAGATGTAAATCATCATTTTATGGGTATTAACCGGGTAAAAATTAAAGCTTGGATAGTTTATGGTCATGCAGGGTAATATTTGACCTCTAAAATAATCTAAAAAAAATAAAATAAAAATAAAAATAAAATACTAAGAGTTGCATCCAAAATTATAGAAAAAATTATTTGTCTTTTAGTTCCCAAGGTGTCCATGTGCTGTTTCCCAGATTCTGCACACAGCCTTAGCTTATGTGTTTCGGCTTCACAAGACCATTTGAGTTTTATATTCTCACCCTCCAAACATTTACTAACAGCATAAAAAAAAAGAGATTAAATATGACACAAAAACATCCTGACCGAAAAAGAAATTAGTCGAGATACGCACAAATTAACTCGAACAAAACACTCTTAAAAAAAAACTGAAAAAATTGAAGTGATACACAATGCCAGTACTTTGCGGACTAAAAGTATATTCAGTCCTTTAATAAACAGTAAACAGCAAGGCATCTCATTTGCCTTTATAAAAGACACAAACTAGTGCATGTGTTGAGACACAACTCCATTTGTACTCTCTTAGTCTCCTCTTTCTTTTTGCATCCAAAACTCAAAAACACCATGGTCTCCCTTGAACCTTTTCAGGCCACCTCTAAATCCATTGATCCAAATTCAAGTCCCCGGATTTCTTTCTCGGCCGATTTCCTCGACGAGAAAAATTTCATATCTCTCTGCCCCAAGTCTCCGATTCTGATCAAAGATCACGAAAGGGAGAGAGAGAGAGCGCGTAATGCAGAATTCGAGTTTCTCTCTAGCAATATGACCAACCAAACAATGCTGACTGCTGATGAGCTGTTCTATGATGGGAAATTACTTCCCTTTTGGCAAATGCATTATTCCGAAAAAATCAACAAGATCAGTCTCAAAACAGAAGGTGCCGAGGAGAAAATGGAGGAGGTGAACAAAGAGGAGAGTAGGGTGAATTGGTTTGTTGATGATGATCCATCCCCTCGGCCACCTAAGTGCACTGTTTTATGGAAAGAGTTACTAAGGTTGAAGAAACAACGTGCTTCATCGTTGTCACCATCTTCTTCTTCTTCTTCTTCCTCGTCTTCTTCGAGCTCACTAGTTGATATAGCTCCCAATGATGCTGGCAAAGCAGGGTCGGGGAACAGAGATAAGCATGTGAAAAGGGCTAAGAAAGGATTGGAGAGGACTAGATCAGCTAGTATAAGATTGAGGCCTGTGATTAATGTACCAATTTGCACACATGGAAAGAGCAGTGCCCTGCCTCCTTTGTTTACCATCAAGAAAGGAAGACTAGAGAGGTGAGAGAAGGAACTGTAATTGTTTGTTGGTGGTATGTAATGTAGGATTTGTCCAATATGTTCAGTTTTTCCCCTCTTCATTTTTGTAAGTTTTCTTCCTCTATTTTGACCAAAAAAAGAAGTTGGTTTCGGTGGATCTGATGAATAACGATAACAATAACAATAACAATAGAGTAATATTATTTGGTCCTAAAAATATGACCTAATTATTGACATAATGACGTGGTTTCAATAAAATTATTGAATCAACACCAAGTTTCAATATTTGATAGGCTTCATAGTCAATCTAAAAGTCATAGTGAATTAGATCAGCAAATTAGGTTCCAATAACATTACTCGTAACAATATAAATTCTGACTTTTATGGTTTGGTAAATGTTGGTTTTATAACTCACTAAGGCCACGTTTGGATGACAATAATTTTAATTGAGAATGAGTATTCATTTTTAGTAATGAGATATCTGAGTTTCAATTACCAAAATAAATCTTATATTTAATGTTCGATTATTGTCAGTAATTTAGTGTGAAAACTAATGTTATTGCCAAATTATTTTTGGAAATAATTTAATTTTAGAAGATAGATTGATTTTAAGACCAGAACTTATTTTTTGAAATGCAAGTAATTTTAGGAAGAAGTTTAATTTTTGGATTTTTTTTCTTTTTATAGAATACCCAATCAATTTAGGTATGATATTACCACTATTAACCATGAGTTTAAGATATTCACTATTATTGAGAATTGAATTATGGTAGTAATCTTATTTTAAGTTAAATTACTGAATAATTAACTCTCCAAACATGATAATCTAGATTTAGAAATGAGAATCTCAATTCCAATCAAGATTATCGCCATCCAAATAGAGCCCAAGTTCTAGTTTGATATCATTTGTGATAGTCATGTAATTCAAAAGCATAAGGTTTTTATTTTTTTTCTCCAAATCCCAATGGATAGTTCAAGTGGTAAAATGGATGAATTGTAAATTCAGACGTTCTAAATTCAAATTTCAACAACTCCTTGGAGTCAAAGCCATAAGAAATTTATCCCTCATAAACCTCTTAATTTTGGCGTGGATGGTCTACTTTTGACCATATTGAGGAGGAGATTAGTCGAGGTGTGCCTAAGTTGGTCCGAACACCCCTAATTGTTAAACAAAAAAAAAATGTGGTTTTAGTGGTTAATCTGAGGAGACTAAGTTACCGAAAAATAAATTTAAAGTTAAATTTTATGAATTTTGTTATAAATTGTTAATAAATTGGGCAATAAATTATAATTAAAAAAATTAATTATCCAAAAAACATTATAATTTAAATCATAAAATTATAATATGACCTAAAGATTTATATTTTTTATGTTATAAATAAACTTAAAAACTTGAATTTCAACCTATAAAATTTATAAAAAATTTAACGGTAATTTTTTCTTAACAGAAGGTGATAACATCAAGAGTGTTGAATTCTTTCGGCAGAAGATTAGAAATTGGCTAAACTAATAGAGCAAAATAACATAATCATCTTGACTGCAATGAGGGTGTGATGCAAATTCTAAATCTGCCCTTCTTTATGTGCTTCAAACACATCTTGGAGACCACCAATATATGCTCGATCCAATTTCCCCTCTTATTGCAACACTTGAATCTGTCTTTCGAGATTGCTTGTTATCTCCAATCTAGCAGTTGATCACAACCAACTTTACATCTCGGACCAACATAGTCTAATCTTTCTTATGCCATTCTCTTGTAATCCTGGCTAGTCAAATTGATGCGAGACTTTGTCCAATTATCAGCCCACTTATGAACACGATTTTAAATGAAAACTTTCATGGTTCATGGATTCTTTCTCTGGTGGCATATTATTTCTTTATGGGTTAATTGTAAATTGTACTCTAAAAGATCGTTTAAATCTTAATTTGCACCCTTAAAGATCAAAAATCTCAATTTACATCCTTAAAGATAGAAATTTGTATCAATGTGCACCCCAAAATATAAAAAATCTCAATTTATACCCTCAAAAATAAAAATTTGTATCAATGTGCACCCTCAAAGATAAAAAATCTCAATTTGCACCTTAAAAGATAGAATTTTGTATCAATGTGCACTTAAAACTAAATTGATAAATTATACCTAGATTCTCTTATACTTGTTATTTAATCATTTAGACCTTTCACATTTAGAATATTACGCCTACATCTTATGATGTTTGTCCATGTGTAACATGTAACTTCTTTTGTTGATATCTATTAAGATAACCGTTAAAAAGAATGATTTTATTCTAATAAAAAATTATAATTTCATATTATCATTTATTTTCTGAGTCCAATATACTTTAAAATTCAAAATCAAGCTTACCATTTGAATATCTAATATAATAAAAGGTTGCACATTGAGTGATATATTGCATTGGATATAAAAAATATTATATAAATATCTACATTCTATTGGACATTCAAATGGTAAGCTTAATTAAACTTTAGAGTATATTGAATCCACAAATTAAAAAGATAATATAAAATTATAATTTTTTATTAGGATAAAATCATATTTTTTAACGGTTATATTAACATATATCAACAAAAAGGAATTACGTGTTACAAATACACAAACGCCATGAGATGTAGGAGTAATATTCTAAATGTAAAAACGTTCAAATGATTAAGTGACAAGCATGAGAGAATCTAGATATATTTTATCAATTTAGTTTTAGGTGTACATTGATAAAAATTTTTATTTTTGAAGGTGTAAATTGAGATTTTTTATCTTTGAGGGTGCAAATTGATATAAATTTTTATCTTTGAAGGTACAAATTGAGATTTTTTATCTTTAGGATACATATTGATACAAATTTTTATCTTTGAAGTACAAATTGAGATTTTTAATCTTTGAGAGTTTAAATTGAGATTCAAATTATCTTTTAGAGTACAACTTACAATTAACCCTTTCTTTATTTAGAGATGCTTTGGATAACGGGTAATAGTATTTTTTATATATTTGAATATATTCCTTAGAGTAATAGAATGAAGAATAATAATTTAAATACGTGAATAAACTTTTATTAAAATTTTTTTTTGTATGTCTAGATATGGGTTACATCAAATCCATTTAAATCAAGAAATAGGAAGGAGACATTAAATCGAGACCAGAAGCAAACTAATTGGTCAAATTGACCCGACCCAATCAAGAGGTCATCTTCATGGTAGGCCATAGAGGCATCCAAACAAGAACCATAACCGTAGTTGGAAGCACGATCATCTAGTCGTGTCCAAAGGACCCAATATCCCCAGGCCGGAGTCAGACACCTTCTTCAATTGGGGTAACTTAAACTATATTAATATTAAAATTTAAAATATTTATAAAAGTATAATTTTATTAATAAAACATTAATTAAAGACGCAATTCATATACATGAGCGATATATAAAATGAGCCAATAAAAAAAACTCATTATAGATTTATCTATAAGATCCAACAAAAAAATTTTGAACCATAAAATTGGGCTCAATCATATATTAAATTTTAAGAAAAAATTTCATAACTAATTCAAAAATTAATTTGTTCAATCACAAACTTAATATTTATCATTAAATTTTAACAAACAATCGAAACTAACTTAAACTATAATTATTCTAGTAAACTAAATCTAAGTATATGAAGTACTTAACTTCTTACAATAAAACTATTCAAATTACCATAATTATAGTGGAGGACTACATGTCCCAATTCCAATTCTACGAATAAAAATAAAACAAATGAGACGACTACAAGTCCTAATTCCAATTTAACATATATAAAAAAATAAATCATAGAAGAGGACTACAAGTCCCAATTTTATTTCAACATAGAAAAATAAATACAAGACTACAAATTCTAGTTTCAATTCAAAACATAAAAAATAAAACATAAGAGATTTATATTTTCAATTCAACATGTAACAAATAAAATACAATAGAGAGCTACATGCGTTAATTTCAATTTAACATTAAAAAAATAAACCACAAAAGATGAATACAAACCCTAATTTTCAATTCTAACATATAAACATAAAACAAAGAAGAAGATTACAAACCCTAAATTTAATTTAATGTATAAATATAAAACAAATGAGAGAGCTAACATATTTTGTAACATATTAATTAATCTTTAAATGCCTTAATTTTTAATATCATCTTCCATTAATATTTACTAATGAGACTCATATATTTGTCAAAACAATATAACTATCCTTAAATCTTTAAAAAAAAATTTAGTGGGACAAATATCTAATAAATTTTAAATTTTTTAAAATTATACTTAGTCCTAAAAAATTTTTAAAATTCCAGTGAGGGCTGCTGTCCCCACTGCCCTCACTGTGGATCCGCCACTGACTATCCCACATCAACGTATAGACATAATTTTTTTTTTAATTTAATGATTAGTAGTGATATGGTTAATTTGCATGCATCTCTATTAAATTTTTTTTTTGATTCGATTAAAGTCAGACTATTAACATTAAGATTAAAATAAATTATCAAGTTTCGAATTCAGGACGCTTAAATTACTGTTCGTCTTTATTACTGTTTGAATTATTTTTAAAATTTAATATGATTCTTTTGTTAGCTCATTTTTGTCAGCGTCAATAGATTAATTTTCGACCGAATAAATAATGTACGTTAATGAAAGTATCCCATTGTATTAGGGTAGAATATGAAAATTTTAATTTTTTAGAATACAAACTGAAAATTCTTAAATCTTTTGGGTGGAAAGGGTGATTGCCTTTTATTTTTTTCTTCCCAAAATACCCCTCATTCTTCAAAACTTTTGCTTCCATGGTGTTCCACAAGCGGCAGGGCAAGGTGAACTTTCACCAGAAAACAAGGGCGAAAAAGGAAACTGGAGCGAAGACGGCGGCTGAGCGCGGTCGCTGAAACCGGTAACAATCAAACTCTCCGATTTCTTCTTTTCTCCTCAGTATGTGTAAATGCGTGGGCGTGCGTCTCTCTCTCTCTCTCTCTCTCTCTCTCTCTCTCTCTCTCT